CTTAACAAGTAGATATTTATGTTTTTGATTCCGCTCTGCAAAGACAGTCAATTCCTGTTTGATGAATCAATGAACACACACACATGTTTGCTCTCGCGCGCGCGCGCGCGCGCGCTCTCTCTCTCTCTCTCTCTCTCTCTCTCTCTCTCTCTCTCTCTCATTCTGTGTATTTGTGTGTGTGTGGGGGGGTCTGTCTGTCTGAATTGGTCTCACATTGCAAGGTGACCCTCATGTGACCACTTTTGTAGAATGTATCTTCCTTATCACACATCCCATTTTAATGTACTGGAACTGTCAACTGAAACTTCCATGAAAGGCATGAGCTTGGAACATATCAGTGTTTCTTAACTAAATGGTAGACTCCACCAGAGAGTACACTCAAAATGACAAACCAGCTGTGGAACAAGACTTAGAAAGAGGCTAGAAAACTGCAAGACCACTGTAAGTGCTATGCATTATTCTTCCCCCACCCCCCAAATTTGGCTTTTTTCTGGAGGCACAAGAAAGCACAGATATTATAGGTTTCCTGTTGAGAGTTTAGCCTAGTCATTGGACTAAGTCAGTCATTATATGTGTTGAACTGAGAGACAGAAAACTGTTGTTTACAATGTTGACTTTTTGGGAGGTCACTACTGTAAGTAGAACAAGTTTGTAGTTATGTAAGTTCATTGATAACTCATGAAGTTTAAAAAGTTCATTCTAAGTACACTAAATACAACTTTATGAGTATAATATATTTCTAAGTTATGTGAACAAGCAACAAACTACCTGATGCGGTATTCACATCTGCCCTCTTTGCTTTCTTTGATCTCCTTGTTTTATAATTCCAACTAAGTCAGTCTTTTTCTGTTGTTATGACATGGAAACAGTATTTGAGCCTAGAGATAGCATTGCTTTTGATGAATGCTTATAATGATGGTTTTATCTGCTTCCCTGCCAAATGATTTTTCCCCATTTCTGCTTGAGGGCACTGAACAGTTTTACTGTCTAAGCGCATCCTTTGTTGGAGAGTGGCTGGACTGTGTGAATAGTAACTTGTTTTCTATGGCCCTCCTGCACAAGATAGTAATCTTTAGGGCAGCACCAGCACAGAGCCACATAACCGTGTCTTTTGCATTTAAGTTGCAGGAAATTCACTTGCTGTAAGCTTAAACAGGGTGGAACCAGCAATAGGGTCTGTGGGTCTTAGGAGGGGAGTATCTTGGAACAAATGGAACAGGCATGAAAGAAATGTTCCCCCTCTGACCTATTAGCAGTGGAATGAGACTAGGACTTTCATACGGACTAGGACTTTCATATTTTGGTTTTAATTGCTATGGGAGTTCCCGAGGAGCAGATGGGTGGTTATGGTCAGGGGAAGATATGGCATTGGGGGTTTAACCTGTTGTTCCAGAAGAGAGAGGGACAGAATTTTAGTATCTGTCTCCCCCTCTAGTTTCTCCCCCAGCCAGAAGTTTCCAGGAAGTGATATCAACCAGCCCTCAGACTTAGTGGTGCTGCTGTTGAATGCCAGGCTGGCCCAAAATAAGACATCCCTCATTCACAACTTAATCATGGATGCTCAACAGCCTCCCTCCCTGAGCTGAAAGAGATTGCCTTGGACCTGATGTTGTGGACCCCCAGGATGTTCAATCTCTATGCCGAGCCTGGTTTGTCCGGGTCAGCTCAGATCTTCATGGCTGCCATGACAGCTATGGGGCTGTGTCAACATGTCACTGGCCCAATGCATGAAAAAGGCCATACTCTGGACCTGGTTTTCTCAATGGGTCAGGAAGCTGGTGATCTGGAAGTGAGGGGTTTGACCTTAACCCCTTTGTCATGGTCAGATCAGTTCCTCATGAGGTTTGAGGTTGAGGCCAGTTTCCCCATCTGTGAGGGTGCAGGCCCTATTAAGATGATCCGCCCCCAGAGCCCAATGGATCCTGATGTTTCCTGAGGGCTTTGGGGGATTTCTTGGTTGATAGTGCGGGCGCTCCTGTCAGTGCCCTGGTTATTTGTGGAATGGGGCAATGGTAAGGGCAATCAACATGACCACTCCTAAGCATCCTCTCCTGCCATGCAGGGCCTGCTCAGCACCATGGTGCACACCTGAACTGCAGCGCTGAAGCAAGTTGGGAGGTGACTAGAGTGCAGGTGGAGGAAATCCTGAGACAAATCTGACTGAACACACTTAAGAGCTCTTTATCAAGCCTATGCTGTGGTGGTGAGGGTGACAAAGAAGAAATTCTTCTCTGCTTCCATTGCATCCTCACAGTGCTGTCCAGTGGAGCTCTTTCGGGTGGTATGGGGCCTATTACACCCTGGCCCCAAAAAGGATCCTGTTGCACCATCAGTAGCCTGCTGTGATGACTTTGCCCAGCACTTTAGGGATAAATTCGCTCAGATTCTCCATGAGCTGGACTCCACGGTTGATCCGGCTTTCGTCCAGGCGGTGTCCAGAGTGCCATCTGGTCCACTTTTATTGGATAGGTTTCAATTGTTGTGGCCTGAGGATGTGGACAAGATGCTTGGACTGGTCCGTCTCACTACTTATCTGCTTGCCCCTTGCCCCTCATGGCTGCTTGTCAGTGGCAAGAGCAGGATATGTACCTGGGTCCTGGAGGTCATCAATGCCTCTCTGAGGGAGGGCCGGGTCCCCTCTCCTTTGAAGTAGGCAGTGATCAGGCCGGTCCTGAAGAGGTCATTCCTGGACCCAGAAATAGCTGCCAATTATAGGCCGGTGGCTAATATCCCATTCCTGGGCAAGGGGCTCGAGCAGGTAGTGGCTGGACAACTCCAGGCACTCTTGAAGGAAACTGACCATCTAGACCAGGGGTCCTCAAACTTTCAGTAGAGCGCCAGTTGAAAGGTGGCGGCTGCACGCACGGGCCGGTGAGGTGAGGGTGCCTGGCAGCATGGGCCAGTGAGGTGCCATCGGGCACACACAGTGGTGGCTTGCTCGCTCGGAGACCATCCCCAATCTAGTGAGCCATCCCCCCCCCCACGCTGCGAGGCAGCAGTGAGCACACGCGTGCATATGGGAGGCAGGCGACAGTGGCAGCTTGCTCGCTCGGAGTCCATCTCCGATTGAGGGAGCCACCACCTCCCCACCCACGCAGTAAGCATGCATGCAGGCGGTGAACGGCGGCATGGGCTGAATGGATGGCCATGGCAGGCAGGATCCGTCCCGCGGGCCGTAGTTTGAGGACCCATGATCTAGACCCATTTCAGTATGGTTTCAGGCCCAGGTGTGGAACATTGGTTGCCCTCCCTGTGCAGGGAGAGGGACAAAAAGGAGTGCGTCCCTGTTGGTTCTCCTGGACCACTCAGCGGCTTTCAGTAGAAACATAGAAACAGCGAATCAGAAGGGGCCTCCCGGGCCATCTAGTCTGACCTCTGGCACCAGCCAGCTCCGCTCACGACATGCCCACCATGTGGACGTCCAGCCTATCCTTGAACACCCGCACCTATGGGGCCTCAAGCACTTCTCGTGGAAGCCCATTCCACACCCTTGGGGTCCTGACTGTCAGGAAGTGCTTCCTGGCATCCAAATGGAACCTTGGCTCCCTGAGCTTTGCTCCATTGGAGCATGTCCTGCCTTCCTCTGCAGGGGAGAACAGGTCTCTACCCATCCCCATGTGATATCCCCTCACATACCTGTATGTCGCCATTGACCATGGTATCCTTCTGCATAGGCTGGTGGGGTTGGGAGTTGGAGGCACTGCTTTGTGGTGGTTCCACTCCTACCTGACTGGCTGATCCTAGAAGGTGGTGCTGGAGGATTCTGACTCTGCGCCATGGCAACTTTGCCATAGAGTTCCGCCGGGTTCCATATTATTCCCCATGCTCTTTAACATCTACATGAAACCTCTGGGAGAGGCCATCCGAGTTTTTGGGCTGTGGAGTCATCACTACACTGATGCCACCCAGCTCTACCTCTCCTTTACATCTAATCCAGGTGAGGCAGTGTCAGTCCTTAATTGGTGTCTGGCCAGGGTATTGGGCTAGATGAGGGCCAATAAATTGAGACTTAATCCAGACAAGATGGAGGTCCTGTTGGCAGGTGGTTCAGCTTCCAGGCGAATGATTTTTGCCCTGTTCTGGATGGGGTTGCACTCCCCCTAAAGGACAGGGTATGCAGCTTGGGAGTGCTCCTCAACCCTGGCCTGTCCCTGGAGCAGCAGGTGCTGGCAGTGGTGAGGAGCACTTTCCTTCAGCTTCAGCTGATACATCAGCTGTATCCTTACCTGGATGAGCATTGCATGGCAACGGTGACCCTTGCTCTGGTAACCTCCTGTTTGGACCATTGCATTGCACTCTGTTGTGGGGCTGCCCTTGAAGATGGTCCAGATACTTCAATTGGTCCAGAATAGAGCTGCCAGGTTATTAATGGGGACCAGCAGATACTCCCATATTATGCCGGTCCTGTATCATCTACACTAGCTGCCAATTGAAGTCTAGGCCCAATTTAAGGTGCTGGTAATGACCTATAAGGATACCTGAAGGAACGCCTTCTTCCCTATCCGCCTGCCTGCCCCTTGAGATCTGAGGCAGAGGTCCTTCTCCAGGAGCCCTCTTTGAAGGAAATTAGGAGGGTAGCTACTTGGAGGAGGGCCTTTTTGGCAGTAATGCCCCAACTGTGGAACATGCTCCCCAGGGAGGTTCACCTGGTGGTGTCACTTTATTCTTTTTGGTATCAGGTGAAGACCTTTTTATTTTCCCAATATTTTAACAGTTAATTGGCTTTTTCCTTGATTTTATCATCATTTATCGGATGCAGTGTGTTGTGTGTTGTATATGGTTGCTTTGTTTTTTGTAAGGCATCCAGAGACTTTTTAGTATTGGACTGCTTATAAAAACTTAAATAAAATAAAATAAAAATATATTAACAATGCAAATTTGCTTACTTTGTGGACACACACTCATAATATGAAAGATATAACTTGTAGTTTTCCTTTATACATGTGGGCAGCATGTCGTATTTTTTGTATGTGATCAATTTTTCTTTCTTCTCATCGAAGTGCGGGATTCCTTTTCAAGATGATGATGTGATTGCACTTAATGGTACTAAAGCAGATGTAGAAGTCCTGAAGAAAAGAATGGAAGAGAGAAGGCTTAAGAGTAAAACTGGGAAGGTAAGGTCTTTATGCCTGGACTGTCTATGGTATTTTCCCGTGTGAACAGAAACTGGGCAAAAATGGTGGATTATATTTTTGCCCAGAAATTCTTGGTTCTCGAACAGAGAATCACTGTCAGAGCAAGATGTCTGGAATCCAAAGAGCTGCTGTCAGTGTGTTCCACAGCAAGATTTCTAGTAGAATTCTTGACTTTCATATGACAGAACTCCACGGCCAGTTATAGTTTTGAGAAGCCTCCTTCATTTAACCCTGCCCTGCCTCTTAATATAATAGTAAGAAACAAAATCCAAAGCACACCTTAATGGCCATATATTCCTGTAGCTCATTCCTGTAGCCAGTATATTTTCCAAGTATAGTGTGTCATGTTTTACTTAGATTTTAATTGAGTTTAGAAGTACACTGTTAGTTCTGAGCTGGAAGCCATAAGGGAGCTATAATTGTGTTTCTTGTAATCAACATTATTTACAAAGGATGTTCACGCAGGTTAGGTGCCAATTTAGCACTGATTTAGTGCAACTCTTCTTTTACATGGAAAGATTTCTTTTTCCTGCCCATTGCAAATATGAACTGTTTAGCAAATAAATTGCCAAGGCCTCATGGTATTGAATCTGATTTCATAATAGAAATAAAGTTAAAGCAAGCAAATGTTCCTGCAGGCAGCATTCCCATTCCACAGCAATACTAAAACAGCTTCCCTGCTGGAGGCTGGTTGCCGCCCAAGGATATAACACTGCTAAACACCTCTGTGCTGGGGATGTGTTAGCTCTTCTTCCCAAGTGGCATTTTCTTCGGTTGTTGGGCTAAAGAGCCCAGTATCGGACTGAGAGCTTTGGCTATCATGCAGTATATAAATGCAGTGTACGCCATCAATATGTAATGTAGTAAATACCAATGCAAAATGTAATAAATACAAGCCAAGATGGTTTCCTTGCCAGAAGAAAAAAAACACACTACATAAATGTGATGTAGTACTGATAATAATTTGACCATTGCAGTTTAGCTGTTAGAAATTCCTGTTTCTGAAGGAAGGCTTTGCTCTCACCTTGGGATACACATGGGGTTGTCTGTGGAAAGAAGAGTGTCAAAATAGCAGTCGTTGCTGTCTTGACGGGAAAGTTGTATGCAGCAGGCCTACTCAGTATGTGACCCACCAAATTGAACTCAAGCCACCAGCTGCATGCAGAACCCGGCAGGGACTCCCTCTAATATGCTGCTTTAACTGCCTGCCTCAGCTTGCCTAAGAAGGGTGTTACCAGCACCTGTTAACCACACTCCATGCCAGTGGGCTGTGTACAGCTTGGAGGTCCGAATTTGAGCAGGCTTCACATACCTTAACCTTTTGGGGTATAGGCCAGGGCTTTGCAGATGCTTTGGCCTTCTGCTCCCATCAGCCCTAGCTAGCTTGACTCATCGCAAGGGATGGTGGAAATAATAGGCAAAAACATCTGGAGAGTTACAAGTCCCCCCCCCGGTCATAAGAAGGGCGATCTTGACTTTTATCCACAGTAACATTGCCTAAGCCTCTGATGCTGTGACCCATCATATTTTCTTGCATGCATCCTTTTTTCTTGTGGAATGCTTCCAGTGCTACATTTTCCTACACACTTTTGAAGGATACATGTAGGGAACAGGCCAGAAAATCTGGGGTGCAAATGTTAGAAATGACATACATATGAGACTTGAATAATGGACAAGATTGATGAAAGATGAGCCTTGTATTTGCCTTTGACCCCCTCAACCAAAGACACAGCTCTGAAGTTTCCCTACTTTCTTCCTGCATGTAGTGTTTTAGAATGCAAGTAGGATTATGTAACCACAGAAGCAAACCAGATCAGTTTCGGAACTGACAAGCTGCAAAGTGTCTATCAGTGTCTTTTCCGAGTTGAGAAAAGACCCCATGATCTACCTGAGAAGAAGGAGAGGAGTGGAAGAAGAGAAGAGGGTGGACAGACTGCAGCTTTCCCTGCAACTTCTGGTCCAGCTTTCCCCAGTCTGATGCTCTCCAGAATGCTAAGCTGGGAATGCTAAGCTGGGAATTCTGGGAGCTGCACCAGGCTGGACAAAGCTGGTCTTGCTATAGATTTCCAAAGAGAGAAGCCCTTTATTGCCACCTAGTGGATGAGACGCAGAAGAGAAAATTGCTAAGTGATTTCTTTTTTACAGCTAACTTTTGGTATCTATCCATACTTGTTTTTATTTTATTTTATTACAATGTTTTTAACTTTTTTACAGAATTTTATAACATTCTTACACCTAGTGTAGGAAAGGGGCACTTTCTTTTATTTTTGCTGTCGTCATCGTCATCATCATCAACTTTCCTGTCTCTTAGAAAGGGGAGTTGCTCACTGCAGGCCTAGAAAATGAATAATGAAAAAGAAGGCGTATGTTATCCACTGCATATTGGTCAGGCAATTAAACAGCTTTGGTGCACGTATCACAACCTGATGTGAATGCATTCTAACAGATGTTATTAGGGCCGACTTTTATTGGAAAGTTAATGCCAGAAGACCAAATTTGTATTTTACACTTTTTCTAAAATTCATATCCCATCCAACTAGCTAAAGCCTGATTCCTATGGTGCTTAACATGAGCAAGATAAACATAGAAAAAGTATCTTTGAAAAAATTAAAGCAGAATTTGGAGATCCAATAAATCACCTCAGCAGGTGTCTCATAAGTCAATTTAATCCTCCTGAATTTTTTAAATTACTGTTTAAAAAATTACTATTTCCTGCCCTTATATCTGGCCTCCAGTGGTTTCCTATCCAAATGGCTAATTAAGCTCACTGTTACTTAGTTTCTGCTTTAGATGCTCCCAGATTTTTCCTCACCCTCCAGATAAGATTTGTACTAATTTTCCAAAGGACTCCAAAGTTGTAGAGAGCCCTCCAAAGGGAGGGAGCCATTTCAGAAGGCTTGCTCCTTGTCCTGACTTGTGTAATCTCATATAGCAGGGGAGCCTGAGGCCAACTTTGTTTTGCCTCAGGAGGAACAGGATGGGATATATCTGAATTATGATAGCCATGTAACACATGGATATTGGGGTATAAGACTTCTCTATCCCACTGTGAAGGAGTCTTAGCATTTGCCAAGGATCAGATTTAAAACGTCTTGACATTGGGGACTGATAGATACGGCCTTTCTCCTCAGGGATGAATCCTGATTTTCTTCCATGTCATTAACTCTGGACTGGGTCACGACGAACTTAAGTCCCATTGTTTTCAGTGGGTCTGCTCAAAGTTTGGCTGAAGTCTGGATCCAGCCCTGTGTGCCCACTTTAAAGGATAACAAGGTAGACACAGAAATGTGTAAAGTCAACCTCACTTTAGCTGAGTGGATAGTATTAGTTCTGTGTTATGAACAGCATAGACTAACTACATCAAAGTGTTCACTGTACTGAGTTTCAAGGTAGCCAAATGACTTAAGTAGTTCTCTGATGCATCTTTGGTTGTTGCTGCCATTCTTCGAACTCCTGAAATAGACTCAAGTTTATCTCCACTGTTTCAGAAATCCAGGAAATCCAAAGCAGTGGAGACCATTGTGAAATCCGAAGCTGATGATGGTAAGTTAGTTACTATGTGTAGATTCAACCAGGGACATTTCAATTATTTCAGTACCATCATTGTGTAGCTATTCTCTTGCACACTTTCAATTAATTATTATTGCATTTATATCCTGCCCTTTTCCCTTTTGTATTATATCACATTAGAAAGGGCCCAAACATAATTCATGACCTACCGGCCTTCCCCAGCCTGTGCCCTCCAGGTGTTTTGGATTACAGTTCCAGCATTCCTGGCCAATTCCTGGCCATTTTCCACACTAAGACTTATGGGAATTGAAGTCCAAAACATCTGGAGGGCATCAGGTTGCGAAAGGCTGACTTCAAAGTCAAAAGAATCAAACTCAGGCAGCTACGATATTTGATTCCCAATATATTGTTTTCTGGATGAATTTTGAGAGACTTCTGTGTTGAAGGTACCTGAAACCTATGGTAAAAGAATTCTTTAAAATGAAATTTACATTTCTTAAGGAAAAAAGGCACTGTTGCAGGAGACCCCTTGTCAGTGGTTGTTCCTAGCTATGGAAGGCCCAGTTGATGCTACCTGCTTATACCTTGTGGGATGCCTCCTTTTCCAAAGACAGGCAAAGATGTTTTGATGTAGGAAGTGGTCAGTGAAAGAGATTTTATTTGGTTTATTGTTTATTGTTGTTATTATTTTACATTTCTTCACCAGCTTTTTTCCTCTTGCATGGAACCCAAGGCAGTTTCCATGATCCTTGTCCTCACAAACACCTTGGGTATCGGTTAGGTTCAGAGTCATCTAGTCAGCTACATGGCAAAGTGAGGATGTGAACCCACATCTCCCCAGCTCTAATTCATCCACCACACCATACTGATTCATGGCAGAGTGAAGACTAGAACCCATGTCTCCCCAGTCCAGTGTGGTAATCACTGCACTATGCCAGTTAGGGCAAAGCTCATCTACCATTTAAACAACTTGGCAAACCAAGGCAACCTGCAACAGTGCTCCAAAAAGATCTGTTCATACCTTTTAAAAGTATAGTTAAGACTTACTAACTGTGTTTTTAAAAACAAAACCACACAGCTTCTTTTTTCCCTGAAGGGTTTTTACTTTCTAAGTAGCAACAGCAGCTATGGTTTTGGCAGTCTACTCTTTCCTTCCTCTTTTTTATTATTTCAGTCGCAGTCCTTCCCTGTTGAAGAAGACCTTTACTATCACTTTATTAGAATACAAATGGCATCATTTACATTTTCTTTCACATATCCCCCACCCTTTATTTTTCCAGATTCGTGCAGTTCATCTCAAGTAAATACTGGAAAGGATGCCACAAGCATGAAATCTGGAGAAAAGAGAAGCAAGGGTGCAGGTTGGTGTAACAATTCTAATGTATTTGAACTTCCAACAGGTCTTTGACAAAGCTCCACACCAAAGACGCTGGAGCAAACATAGCAGTCATGCAATAGGAGAGATCACAATAGATCTCTTGTGGATCACTAACTAGTTAAAAAATAAAGATCACTGTAAGAATAAACAGTAATTTCTCCTGAAAGTTGGGGCATAACTTGGGCAGATCCAAAGGGATCTGTACCAATGAAGTAGATAAGATTTCTGGTTAACACCAAACTATTTAAGGTGGGTAGAAACAAAAACGGTTGTGAGGAGGTCCATCGGGATCTCTCCAAACTGGGAGAATGGGTATCAAAATGGCTACTATGTTTCAGTATAAACAAAGCTAAAGTGAAGTACATTGGGGCAAACCATCTGAACTTCAGGTATGAGCTGCTCAGATCTGAGCTAGTGGTGACTGACCAGGAAAGGGAACTTGGGGCTGCAGGGGGCAGCTCAGTGAAAATGTTGCCCCAGTGCGTGGCTGCTTTGAAAGGGGCCGCTCCATGTCAGGCACAACTAGGAAAGGCATGGAAAGTGAGACTGCTAATATCATACTGCCTTATACAAATCTGTGGTACAAACCTCACTTAGAATATTATATGCAGTCCTGATTACTACACCAAACCCAGGATATTGTAGAATAGGAAAGATGGAAGCAAAGGGCATCTAAAATGATCAAGGGATTGAGCATCTCCTCTATGAGGAGGAAGGTCACCATCACCAAGATTGTTTAGCTTAGAAAAAGCTCAAGTAAGGGAAGCCATGATAGAGGCGTAAAGAATTATGCTTGATGCGGAGAAAGTAAAGGAGGGGAGACATTTCCCCCTCTCTTATAATACTGGAAACTGGAGTCTTCCCATGAAACTGATTGATGGGAGATTTAGGAAGGATAAAGGGAAGCACTTCTTTACATAGAGTATAATTAAACAATGGAATTCACTTCCACGGGATGAAGCAACAGCCACCACTTTGGAGCCTAAAAAACAGAAGAGCCACCAGGCTTTGGGGACTTTCTGGACAACTGACTGTGAATGGTGTTTTGTGTCAGTGTCTTGGACAAGAACAATAACCTTAAAAAATTGAAAAACGGTTTCTATTTTTACATGGTTTTCAGAGGTTTTGGTTGAAAATACTTCTGTACAGGAGATGCAAATGTTGAACCCAAGAGCAGGCATTTAAGAAAAGTTTATTTTTTTTACTTTAGTTTGAACCAGTCTAAAATTTAAGGCCAGTGTCGATTAGTATGCATGGAGTTAATTTGTGGTCTGTTTGCTTCTTCCTCTCACAGTCAGTGAAAGCGTGTCATCTTCACTTGGAAAAAGCAGCAAAAATCCATCTGGGCCTCCCAAGCGGCCTATTGCAAGCAATGAAGAGAAATCAGAAGCATACAAGTCTATTTTTACTTCTCACAGCTCTGCCAAACGCTCTAAGGAAGAATCTTCAAATTGGATTACACATACAGCCTACTATTTCTGAAATGGAAAAGTGATCTTGATTTCTAGCAAGCCCTGTCCTTTCCCACTGTGCTGTTCTTCCTCTTACAAGGGAATTCTTTTTTACTTTATATTGGGCAGTTTGCAAACAATTTAAGACATCGGCCAATATAGCATTGTACAGATAGTTAAGATAGGGCCTGGGTTTTGGTTTTTGTTCAAGAGAAGTGAGCACCATGATCATTCCCTGTTGCCCTTTCTCTCTAGGGACAAAGCCTGATTCTTCCGTTGGTCCTGGTCATTGTGAATAATTGGGTGGTATATTATCTCAGTCGTACAGAAGTGGAATGCTGACCTGACTGCAGAGGCTTCACGGGTGCCATGTGATACCAACAGCATGTTGCCCAGCCCTGCTTTAGTCAGGCGTGTCAGGCTGGGGACCTGGATTACTAAGGGTGGAGGCCAGCAGCCACCTGGGGAGGTTTCAGCCTGTGGAACACCTTCCACCAGCCCCTTTCCCAAATGTGAGGTGTCAGTAGGATGTCCTGGTTCCACAGCAGATGCAATCCACTCATGTTTTTTGAGGCAGCTGTGGGATGATGAACCAGACACAAAAGCATTGTGGGCTCTTCTTGGCTTGGACACCTGTAATGCTATCGTTCTTACCAAATTCTTACCAAATTCTGTGATGCTGCTAAAGGTTTTGTGTTTTCATTCTTCCAGGTTGTCCAAGTAGCAAGGCTTCTGTAATTTTCTGACATCTTGTGCTTAACCAGTAAAAACACAATCTGATACTGTCTCTTTTAATGTATTGCACAGTTAATCACTATTAAATCCAGTACACTTTCACCTTTTAAAATTTTTTGGAAATTATTTTGGCTTGGATAAGAAGAATGGACTACAGAGAAAAAATGGGTCAGTGTTCTTCGGTGAACTCTTGGGCAAGTGCTAGCAAAAGAACTTGAAATGTTACATCCCCACAGTGTATCAGCATCTTATGATTGATTATGGGAGGACTTCTGATACTTTAATGAAACAAGTGAAAATTTCAGACTGGTTCTTGATGACTCTACACTTCTATTTGGCACAGAGAAACTACAAGAAGCACAACCTAGAGAATAGCATAGAGTTCATTATATTTCTCAAATCAAGTAAATCTTCAAAGATGCACATGATATCAATATAGAGTATCTCACCTGTTGGGGGGCAAACAAACTCCTTTATGAATGAAACCATAGACAAAGCTGTTGCACCGGGGCCAAATGCAGTTGCTTTTGGGGTTCGATCAGGCTACTGGGCATGAATGGGCCAACTTGAGCATAAGGTCTGAATCATCCTTAACGGTATGATTCTAGGAGAGGTTTACGCAGACACAGCAGTTAATGTGACCTTATACTGGAATTCCAGCCGCCCTGATGCATGGAGACCCTCTTCTCTCACCCAACTAAACAATTAGAAAATGTTGCAGAATTAATAAACCTCACAGCTCCTTGGACCATCAAGTTTTCTATTGATTGCAGAGTCCTAATTTAAATGAATCTTATTTTTAGGGATTACATGGGGACAAGGATTTAGACTTGAGTGGGGATTCTTAAAGATGCTTTCTACACCGTGTTACATTTCTCCCACCTTGTGTGCACAAAGAGTGAGGAGAAAAGGTGCTTGTTAACTTTTATTTTGAAAAGGGTCCCAAAATGCAATCAGAAAGAGTTGATTAGAAATTCAGATGACGACTGTGTTTACACACAGTCTTTCTGGTCTGTGATTACTGACTGATGCAACAAAGGAGGCATTGCCATTTTCTAAGGATAATTAGTCCTATTTTTCACACACAAGTTTTTGTCATGTAATTTGCATAATATTTATCTCCTTCCATGTTACTAACCTATAAGAAGCTCTTTGCCTCCTTTGAATTTTTTCACTCCGAATCAAAACATTGTGCGGTTTTGCTGTGCTCCAAGGACGCATTCTGCCTCGTTTTCTCCATGTAAGCAAGTGCCTGACATTTTCTTTAGCTTCATCTGTGCTTCTTCACTTTGTTACACCCTTTTAGGGTTGTCATTGTTCTGCACTGGGACGATAAGCTCATTGCACAAGGCACGTTGCCATCTAATTCACTGGGTGAGTTGGAAGAAGTACAGAAGGAGGCAACAGAAGTGTTCAGGGGGCTGAAGCAGCTCTCCTATGAGGAATGACTCCAACATCTGGGACTGCTCAGCTTAGAAAAAAGGCGAGTAAGGGGAGACATGATAGATAATGCATGGAGTGGAGAAAGCAGAGGGAGACCTCCTCCTTCTCCCATAACACTCAAGCCTGGGCTCATCCCATGAACCTGATTAGTGGGAGGTTTGGGACAGATAAAAGGAAGGGCTGCTTTATACAGCATATAGTTACAAACTCCGGAATTCACTGCCACAGGAAGTGGTGATGGCCACCCATTTGGATAACTTTAAAAGGAATTGGACAGATTAAAGGGGGTGGGGGAGGCTACCAGTGGTTAGCAGCCTTGCTGTCTGATTACTGCTTCCCACACCAGAGACTGAATGCCTGCATACATCAATTGCTGAGGAGCTTGGACAGGAGGAGGCCTTGCCCCCATCCTGCTGGAGGGATCCTGTGGGCAGCTGGTCTGCCACTGTGTTTACGGAGTGCTGGACTAGAGGGACCTTTGCTCTGATCCAACGTGGCTTTTCCTAGGTTCTTATGGTAGGTCTGGACAAAATCTCAAGTTGCCTCGGAAGTGCATCTTTGTCTTAGGAAGAGTGCTGGCACAAGCTGTCCCACCGCCTTAGGAAGGAGAGCACTCGTGCCGCCACCATTCCCACATTTCTTCCATGTCATCTTGTCCTCCCTGCTCCTGGCCATTGTGCCATGGAGCCACATCTTGTCTTGCTCTTAGTATCCCAGGAGCCGTCTACCCAAAATCCAGTTGTCCAAATCTTGGCAACTTAAAAATATTTGGGCATGGTCCAGCCAAAGGCATGCAGTCTAAAGAACACTGTTTTAACTCGTGTCTAATCAGAGCTTCTCTTGTGCTGGACTGTACAACCTTCATTAAAACCTCCTTTGTTCATTATAACTATATGAGCAGCAAGCCCGTGTTGGCAGCTTTACAAATGAATCCAGCACTACTTGCTTTAGCTATAGGGTAGCAGATATGAATGGACACCCTATGGCAAAGGTCTCCTGAGCCCAGGGTCACCTGCCTCTAAATCCAGTGCTGAGCAAACCTGATACTTGACATATTTTTTTTTATTTTAGTCTTATTCATTTGAAGGATTAAAGGCAGTAGTAATGAATTTCTACGATTTCCATCTTGGAAGGCTACCAAAGCAAGAGTTATCCACATATTTGAAGTATTCAGATCCAGGGTTACATATGTCACTGTTCAAAATAGGAACTTGAGCATTGTCCCAGTTTTTTCTCATTTTGATGCAGATGATGTTGAATATGATTGGACCATTTGCCACATTTCAGAGGTCCCCAGAGCTTTGGTTTGTCCCCAGCAGATCAGTTGAGATTATTTTATGGGGCAGCAAAAATACAACCCTTTGCTATTTTAGCCTGATAGGAACTCCCACAAGACTGACCAGCATCTCTGCTGCAGCAAGGCAGAAGCTTTTCCTCTCTATTATTGTCATGTCATTTGCTGGATTATAGGATCAACCTTGTTCCTTATATAAGTGACATGACTTACTTCCTCTGCAGCCAAGGCGCCAGTTGATGTCAGTGTAATTTAAGATGAAAAGCTGTAATATGGTTGCCTGGGTGATCAGTTAAGTTGCAGTCACAGGCCAAAAAGGGAACTGTGTGCTCTGAGAATCCAGGCTATCCAGCATCGTGACCCAGAAGTTCTTCTGTTAGGAAACTTCATGAAAACAGAAGGGAGTGGCAAGGTCAGCTTTATGCATTTTCCCATGAAGATGGCACTAGTTTCCAGAGAAGGGTGAGAGAGTACAGAATAACTTCTCTTTTCAACACTTAATTGTGTTTTCCCAGCTTTAGATAAAGGGCTCTGTAAGACAGAATAGGACAATGCATCTCTGCTAATGCTGCTGCTGCTTCTTTTTTTATAATAAGTTTTATTCAAAATAACCCTAAAACAAAGAAAAACTAAAAACAACATCAATCTTCAGAAACATCAGACCTGCTGGGTCAGCCCCCACATTTTTTTCTATTTAAGATAACTTAAAAGCATATTTAAATCTATACCAAGTCCCGTTTCTCTAGCCAATAATAAAAAGAGTCCCAAGTTTGATAGAAATCAGTATCTTCTTTCTCCTTCAATGACAAAGTCAATCTGTCTGCTAATGCTGCTTCTATAAAGCCAAAGTTCATGGCAAAACTACAGGGCAGTAAACACGTCCAATTTAGCTTGTCTCCAACTCAGCTTAACCCTTTTACTGCTGCATTGCCATTGTGGAGTGGTAACAAGGTCCAGCTAGCTTGAGAACAGTCACTCGGTTACCTGTCTGCACCATCACTGCCAAATTTGGAGGCAAGGCAGCAGCAATGTAGCCCACAGTGGGGCTGAAAATGACTCCTGCACCCGCTGAGGTTGGCACCACTGCCACGAAACTTGAATTCAGCTGGTTGTCCTTGTTTCTGGCACCACTGTTACACAAAAGGTAATCAGCAGGCTTGAGGAGTGGGGGAATGAAATGGAGTATCCTGGCAGAGGGCAAGTCTTTAACAGGCCAGAATGGTCCATACGGCTGTCTTGTGTTCCAGGTCTCAGTTGTTTTATTTTAAGAATGTTGACAAGTAGGAAAATATTTGGTTAAAATATTAGTATTTTTAAAATTCCTTTTTGATCGCTGAACAATAAATTGAATAGGGCATAAAATAAAAGGTCATCCATGGCTGCAGGAAAATGCTTGGGTTTGATCGTTTCAGAGGAAAAGAAATGCTAAAGGGGAGGGGTCAGCCACAAAGAACATCTATTTATATATCTATAGAACTCAAGCCTTGCCTTTTGACATGAACGCTTTCAAGGATTATTCAAACATGAAATACAAAGTTTTTTTTTTAAACCCTACAGTTAGGAGAATTACAAAGTTAAAACCAGCAGAGTCAGCCAATCAAAATACCAGCTTAGAAATAATTAAACAAAGATAAATGCTAATTGAAAGCTTGAAATAGCTGCTTGGAGTTTTCCTGATATCTGAAAGATAATCTGGACAATTGGATGCGTCTAGGTAGGAAGCATGGTATAATTCATAGCATCAACGCAGAAAAGTATACCTTTTCACAGCCAACTGCTACTGGCCCTTAGGAGACACCTGGAGAAGAGCTTTTGGCCCAGATTATGATTTGTACATGGGTTATTTAGAGGCCTTCATGCTGTTTCCTTTTGTTTATGGGGGCAATTTCACCAATAAGATGCTATCAGCTGGAAGAAGCTATCGGGATGGGGCACGGGGAAGGACAAATCTCTTGAGTCGGGATTTATAGGCCAGAACTCCCATCTTTATTTCTACTGAAACTGCTGTAGGAAAGCTAGTAAGCCCTACCGATTGGATGCTATTGTCCTTTAAATCATGGTATATGGCAAAATGATGCCTTGTTTTTAAGCAAAAGTATCCTCATTGAAACCCGCTGGGAGCATAGTTTAGCCTGCAAGTGAGACGTGTGATCCCATACGCCTTCTTTTAAAGAAAACTCTTGATTTCTTGTGGCCCTCCCACCAAATTTCTTAGTGGTGCTGACATTGCGCAAGCACCTGTTTATGCTGGCACATGGACTCCGTTGGGTACTTTTCAATGGCTCCCAGTTCCAACTGCTAATTGAGGGCTCCCCAGCATTTTCAGACCTATGGATACAATTTGAGAATTGTGGACACCAACACAAAATGTCTAA